TTTTTTTTCTTGGTTAAATATTTAATTTGAGTTGAATTAAATTGTGTAGAAAATATCTATGTCTCAAGTAGGCACTCGTGGTATATTTATATTTTCAAAATTGTTTTTCGATAAATGAAATATAAATAATTAAAAATAGTCATTAACGAACACGTAAAACATTGGTTATGGATTCGAAGAGTCAAGAGTCATTTCCTACATTAGACTCTTAAATGAGATTAACTTTCTTCATTATAATAAAGAAAGTTGGAGAAGTCAGAAAAAGTTATGTACCAAGTGTTGGTATGACTTCGCCCACATGCACGTGCGCCTACTGTCCTAGCCGGATCGACTCGGCTCGGGCACAGGCCTAGGCCTCCATGCTCCTTGGTACTTCGATTGTGGGCTAGACTTGCATGGCCTTGCACGATCTGGGGCGGTGTTGGGCATGGGTCTTGGGCTTATCATCTATAATCCTTTTGTTGCAAATATATTTGCAAAATTGTTGCCCCAAATGAAATCCAATCAGAGTTGGGTTTGGACTCGGGTTTTGACCCAACCCCTGTGATACCCCAAGATACATTGCATGTGAATATGTTGACTGACTCCACCTGAGCGTTTCAAGAGGAGTAATGGAGTGTTAATACCTGAAAACGGTCTGACTATTTTGATGCCCATAACAACAACAGTAATATGGTTGTTACCAGCCATAAGTGTCAGTTGACTCCTTGCTTCCCCTGCCTGAGTTAGAAATTTATAAATTTATATATAGCCATGTAGCCGCCATCGATCATCCGTGAACCACAGAAAAGTTTTCCGATCATCCGACAACCACCGGCGAACTTGGATGCACTTGTCGCGCCCAGCCACAGGCCAGTCGCAGCTCAGCCGCGCGCAGCACCGCAGCAGCCTAGGGGACACCCGTCTGCATTATTCACGTCCGCGAGCAGGTTCTCGAAGGCGTCCAGGCCCGTCCAGGAGTTCTGAATGTGCAGAAGACGTGAGACCAACGAAGATATTGCGCGACCCACGCGTGACCCGTTTGCTGTGTACATGACCCGTGTGGGATCCTTGTGTTCCCAGGGAACCCACGCAACTGCCCCAGTGCTCCGCTCCCAACATCATCCTAGGCATCTCAGTTCATCCGCCTGCAAGAAGACCCAAGGAGACCTAGGTTATCTCCGTAGAGACCTAGGTCGACTCGTAAGCGTCTGTGAGGCAGCAGGGCATCCTAGCACATAGAGACCCAACCAAACCCGAGCAGTCCCGTGCACCAGCGTCCAGTTCCGAGCACCAGCGAGCTCCAGTGACTTTTCGGTGACCTTCTAGTGAGCTCGCCTAACCAGTGACCATGGTGCGAAGCCCAAGGCGATGGAGAGCCTAGTTCGGTAGCCCAACGGACTCTAAGTTTCAAACGATCTCCAACAGCGGAGATTAAAAATGTCTCAGAGTCGAAAAAAATAATAAACGGTACGCGCTGAACCGTTGCTACTAGTTCCGCTGCGCTTAGAGTTTAATTCGTAAATAGTTCGTAACTTGTATGATTTCGACGATCCTACACCGCCACCAACAACATATACATGTTCACCCATTATATTTGATTATAATTATGGTATTGCAATTAATTAAACAATTGTGTGATTGTTTGCAATTTATTAGTAATTGCTCCTTTGAGTTAACTGTCATTAACTGTGTGAGATGTTAATTGATAAAGTGTAACTCTCAAATCTCCTCAATCGATTATCACTAAGAAATGGATATTAATGATACGCGATAGTTTGACATGTGGTCTGTATCATATTTTTGGAGAATATAGTATGTTTCACTACTATGAATAATTCTTATTCATGATGGACAATGGATACTTTGAAGAGTATTGGTATACCCTACCGATAAACCATTTGTTTATGTTTCTAGAGTACCGGTGTGTGTAATAGTCATTTGACTTGAGGTCAATACACAATTCATGTATAGAGTGATTTACTTAGACTTAGTCCAACACTTACGCTCTTTATGGGATGGATATGGGCTTGTGTGTGGTTGATCACGATATACGTGGAATTGGTAGTTGAGTCAAGATAAGATTCATTAGTTAAATATAGTTTTGAGAGAACACTTGTTTTCTCTATACTTGGTTGATAAAGTCATTGACCAATGCACGTGATAATATTTGAAATGGTGTTCAAATATAATTGATTAAAGTCAACCAGTAAGATGAGATAAAATGATTAAGTTGTTTGGATATACACACGTTTAAGTCCTAAGCTTAATCGAGTGGTTCGTTAATGAAGGGACCGTATCACCATTGAGTTCTAAACTAAAGGTTTATTTGCTTAGTCCATGTAAACATACTTCATATTTTGAGTTCGTCCTCCGACGCAATCTACTTGTTTCGTAAGGATCATAAATTAGATTTATGTCAATATATGAAGACCTATAAGGTCACACATATGTAATCAGTTTCTGACTAAGAGTGAATCGAGAATGTTAAATATTCAATTAGATTGGAATATTTATTTATTAGCAATGAGATTATTTTTTATTTAATAAAAAATACTTAATTAAATTAAATTAGATTTGCACTTAATTATATTGTTATTGGATTACGTCCAATTACTTATTATGCCATAGGATCTCTTATGGCCCATTGACCTAATTATAAATATCTCATTATCTCTCCACCGTCTTTGATTGATGTGAGAAACATTTTGGAGATCACAAAATCTTAGAGATTGAGAGATCAAGATCGTAAGACAAACAAAGACAAACACTCTCCGATTTTCTGGATTAAGGATTTCTGGCTTCTTCACCGGAAGATATTCATTGGCATTAGATCATGCACCGGAAAATAGAATTGCATGGATACCATAGTCGAAGGAAAAACTTTCAAACAACTGTAAGTTTTCGTTTTCATTCACACGACTAAGGTCATATCGAATAGCTGTAGCCGGATCTTCGTTGTTGGTAAGAAAATTTTGAAATTGCGATTCGCGTAAGCTAGGTTCGTACATCTAAAATCCAGCAATAACTCTGGTTTCTCTTATGGTTTTTAGTTATTGTGTTCGCTTGTTTTTCTGTTTTGTTTGTTGTTGGGATGTATGGTAGCCAAGGATTTCATCAGCTTGTTGTCTTGGTTAGGTGTAGTGGTGTCGCTCTAGCCCACCTTCTAGGTGTGTCCTCCCATTTTAGCTGTTGAGTTTGAGTGTTGCTTAGTCGGGTTTGTCCCCGTTGTATTTGAACTTTGTTCCGGCTTTCTTTTATATTATTTTTGAGTGTTGCTTAGTCGGGTTTTTCCCCGTTGTATATGAACGTTGTTCCGGCTTTCTTTTATATTATTATATATCGTTCCTGAAAGAAATAAAGAGGTTAATTTCGATATAGTTTGAATCATCACAAAATGAACCCTTCTTCCCCAAATCGCTAAAATCGCCGCAACCCTAGCTTCTATCTAATTCAGCCGATTTGCGCCTCCTTCGGCTGTCGTCTGGGTTGTCGGTGGACGGCCCTCCACTGCACAACCATGGACTTGGTCACGAGGCTCTCCTTTTCCGTCGTCTTCGTAGGGGCGCGGGTGGGTTTTCGACAGATTGCTCGGATCTGGGTGAAGCTCGCCGGAATCCCGAAGCAGTGGGGAACGGTGGAGTGCTGCGGCCGAAGATGGTGGTGGCCCGAACCCGCCTGCGTTCTCGCCGGGTTGTGGCGATTCATCTCACCGGGCTCTGAGGTATGCTCTGTCTCCGATCTCTTACTCCCGTCGGGGCTGTTTCGCGGCCTCCGGTCGCCGGCACCCCGACGGTGCTGGGGTGAAGGCAGGGTTTTTGGGGCTGGGCGGAGAGTGGGTCGCTCATTCGGGTTATGTAGGTTCGGTAGGGCTTTGACGCCGTTCGCTCCTCTTCCTACCTAGTTCTCTGTTGCGGAGTGAGGGAGGCCAGCCGTTTCCGGCATTGGCTAGTGGTGTTAGTCGAGGTCGGGACGGTGTAGGACTGGGCTAGTGGTGATAGCCGGTTGGAGGGCGATTGTGGCTTCTTACGGTCAGATAGCGGGTCGACTTGTTTGGTTTGATTCGGGACTCAGGTCCTCGTCTTTGCTAGGCGATAGGCAGTGGCGGGCGTGGATCTTGTGCTTCGGTTCTCTCCTTGGAGTCGGCCTTTGTTTGCTGTTCATTTCAGATGTTCTGCTGAGGGAGGGCTTCGTTCTTTTAGTTTGTTGTTAGGTTTTTGGTTTTGTTTTTAGCTTGCTTGTTTAGCCTGTGTTTTGTCGTTCTGTCTTGTGTTTTTGGTTTGGGCTGTTGGCCCCGGTGTTGCCCGAGTTGTGAGTGAGCATTACCCTATTGGGGTCGTTTTCTCTCATTCTCCTCTTGGGAGCTTTTAGTTTCTGTAGTGTGTTTGTAGTCTAGTGTGTTGCCGAGTATTCTAGCATTGCTAGTATTCGGATCTAGCGGTCTTCGGACATGTCCTTCCAAGTTTCTCGGTCGTTGGTTGTATTATTCAACTATTGGCTGTATCTTTGCACATTTGTGCGTTTATTTATAAAACATCTATCGTTTTGGAAAAAAAAAACACTTCTCTTTACACAATATTTTTTATTTTAGAAAATCTTATTAAACCTTGCAATTTTGATTTTTTTTTTAAAAAAAATTATTTATCCAATCAATGATTGTTAATTTACAAAAAATAATAGAAAGAATTCAAACTTTAAAGTAAAGCTATTTTTTATTTTTATTTTTACACATCAAAATCATCTAATTTTTAAGCACTTTCATATCCCAATTTCAATGTTACTTCATCAATTTATTCAATGATCAACGATTAGTCAAATTACTAATCAAATTAGAAGAGAAATCCAAATATTATCCTATATTATCTTTTTTCTTTCTTATTTAATTTTTATTTTTTTTCAAACAATTAATAGAAAACCTTATTCCCATCATATATTTAATTATTATAAAATCAAATTCAATCTAATTAAAGTAACAATTTAAAATTATTACAAAATCAAATCTAATATAATTAAAGTAACAAANACTTTTTTTACCTTCAATTATTATTCTCTCTTATTACACCCCTAACCCTACTCACACACCCCCACCCTCACAAAAACAAAATCAAACAATTAATAAGACAAGTTGCACTTCCAATTGCCACATGACTACTAGTCATGTCTATAACTCAAATTGAATTTGCATATCCATAAAAACAAGGATATAAATTAACATAAAATAATTTCATAGTTTGTTCCTCCATTTTCTCCTATTCTATCTTTCTTTTTTTATGGCAATTGCAGGAACCATGAACAACAACAACAGCAACAGCATGAGCGTGAAGCAAGACGAACATGAAAACGACATAGTGATGCCAGGCTTTCGTTTCCACCCAACTGAGGAAGAACTCATAGAGTTCTACCTAAGACGTAAAGTCGAGGGCAAGCGATTTAATGTCGACATCATCACTTTTCTCGACCTCTACCGTTATGACCCATGGGAACTTCCCGGTACATATATTTATAGAGTTGACAATTAATTATCACTTTTCTTTAGAGTTGACAAACATTACTAGTATTATTTTTCATATCATATGATTTGGAGTTGTTGTTACTTGTTAGCATTGGCGGCCATAGGAGAGAAAGAATGGTACTTCTATGTGCCGAGGGATAAAAAGTATAGGAATGGAGATCGGCCCAATCGTGTGACGACATCTGGATATTGGAAAGCGACGGGTGCTGATAGGATGATCAGGAGCGAGAACTTGAGGTCCATAGGACTCAAGAAAACCCTCGTTTTCTACTCGGGAAAGGCTCCTAAAGGAATAAGAACGAGCTGGATCATGAACGAGTATCGATTGCCACACCACGACACCCAGCGTCTCAACAAGGTTAAATTTTTAAACTGCCTTACTGACTTACCATCAATCTCAATACTAAAGTAATTAAAAGTAAAACTACTTACTTTCAAATTTGTTTTGAAATTTGAGACACTTGTTCCAGAAACGCTCAAATTAAATCACTCGTGTTAATTTGTAGCATATTTGATTTTAAAACCAGAACTGAAAAATTGAATTTATATATATCATTATATGAACCAGAACTCAAATTATTATTTCCGTTGCATTCTGTGGAAGAACAAAATAAGTTTAAAAAAAAATGACTAGGGTATTATAACAGACTTTTTCCCTTTAAGTTAATAAATGAAGAAAGTGTTGACATTTCTTTTTTTTTTTTATTTATTTATTATTCTGATTGGGGTTCGCTGAAATCAAGAAAAGACAAATCTGACACACAAGATAAATGTTGATGATGAGTACTGTTGGTCACACTTGAATAATGAATGTAATGTAATAAGTCTCTTGGATGTTCTCCCGAGAAACGCATGACCTGCATTTAACATTGCTTGACACCCATTATTAAATACACTGAAAAATCCTCATAATTATTGCTACCAAATTCATACATTTCCATTCAATTTGGACCACATTATGTATGTATGTATTTTCATTCAAATTCATATTACCTCTTTTTTTTTTTAATAAGTGTCATTTTGGTTTTATCAACAATTAACCAAATGAATGACGTTTTGGATCTTTTGTACATATTTTTTCATTATTATCCTTATCTAGCTGATAAATATACTACGTCTTTTCATATTTACTCTTTATCTTTTCTCAAACCATCTATCTCTATCCTGATTAATAAGGGTTATTATTGAAAAAAAAAATTCTTAATTACTGTGCAACTTTTCAAAACGACACTTATTAAAACGGTTAAAAATAAGAGGGAATATCATTTTTTCTTTTTATTATATATATTTTTCAGGCAGAAATTTCCCTATGCCGAGTCCACAAGAGAGCCGGAGTGGAAGACCAGCGACAAATGCCACGTCATCATCATCCTCGAACCATATTTTCCAATATAATCACATGCAAAGAACCCTCAACCGAAAACCAAACGAAACGAGCCCGAGTAGCAGCACGAGCGAAATCGGCACATCTCTTAACAATAACTACTCAATTAGTCACCCACCAATCCTCATAATCCCAAACTCAACTCAAGATTGCGAAAACAATAACAATGCCACAAATAAAAGCTTATCCCCAAATTGCCCCTCGATTTTCCCTAGTCCTTCTTCGATCGATGAGCTCAATAAACTCGTTAACAACTATGTGCCGAATCTTGTCTCTCACCTCCCGGCGGTGCCTCAAAGATTGTGGGATTGGGGAGATGCCAGCAAGGATTACACGGAACTTTTCAAGTAACTTTTTGCATTTTTTGGTTAGTTTGGAATTAATTCATTAATGTAACATTAATAATATTGAAATTTGGCATTTNTAATAATAATAATAATATTGTTTTAGCATTTGAATGTTGTTTCTTGTTACTTGATGAGCTGACATGACTTGCGTGTGCACACATGAACACGTACATACATACAAATGGAAGACATTGAAAGTTGAAACCCTCACACAAACATCAGCTTAGCTGTTAGGCGTGCGAATGATAGTGTCATGATTGAATAAATCCACAAAAAATCATGACTTTCAGACGAATCGCTCAGAGACAAAGCTAGCTACCATTACAAGAGTTTGGCTAATAAAGAAAAAAAAAATTGTTTTGGACCCCCTTTTATGTCTCACTTGTCACAGCCCAAAGCTCCACGACAAAGTTAATATGTTTTCTTATACAAATTCCTACTATGGCATCACAAAATATCACGTGTTTTTTTTTTCTTTTGTGTGCACAATTGAACATTAATTTTGATAATTATCTTAGATTTTAATTTACTTAGAAGTTTTATAGTTTTTTTTTTTAAAAAATAAATTTGATTTTGTGGGATGAGCTTTGTAATTGAGTCTATCTCATATAATTCTCTATGGGCAAAATTGCATATTAATACACCACCTTTCATGTTTTTGCAATTTAATCACCACTTTTACAATTTTACAGTTTAATCACCACCTTTATCATTTTTTGCAAATCGATACATAAATGACGGTTCCGTTAACGAAAATCTGACTCGTTAACGAAACTGTCATTTATGTATCGATTTGCAAAAAATGGTAAAGGTGGTGATTAAACTGCAAAATTGTAAAAGTGGTGATTAAATTGCAAAAACATGAAAGGTGGTGTATTAATATGCAATTTTGCCTTCTCTATATTGAGATTATATTTTAGCTAATTTTATTAAATACTTTTATTATATCAACTAGATTTCAATCATCTGTAATAAACTATTAGCTATCAACTCAAAAGTAATATATGAATAAATTTATCATATATAAATCTACTTTTATGATAGATTTAACAAATAAAGGGTAGTCAAAATTCTATCCAATAAAATTGGGAAATTCTGTAACCATCTAAATGTGTGTAAGTAATTAAAAGGCTACATACAACTATACAGTTTTGTTATGGAACCATCGGATGACTCGAATTATGGAGTTATCCACACTTATTCATCAATAGTGTATAGACACATGTCCTGTAATAAATACAATTAAGACAGGTGTCAATACATTAAGTGGTGGATGACTCTGTAAAAAAATCATCCGATGGCTCCATAAAATTTTTGTGCAACCATATTCCGAGTTCAATATTGTTATTATATTATTTTGGATCGTTTATTGCAATATAACATTTTTTATATACCATAAATATTTATTTACTTTAAATACTTATAACCACAGGTCATTGATACTTGTCTATTAAGTATTGACTACAAGGTAACGTATAATAAACTTGTTCTGAGGTGTAATGAGTATTAGAAATTTTAATCTTTCATCAATTACTTAATATAGATTTATATAGAAAATTTCACTTTTATAATACAATGAATTAGGAAGTAGGAACAATAGGCTGCACATCTCTTATTAAATTGCTTATTGATATTAAAACAAGAGAAAAGATTAGTTTTAGTACACCAAATGTATCGCATTTTGGCTTTTGGTACCCGAAGTTCCAATACAATTAGTTTTGGTCACTAAATTAGTCGTTTTTTGTCCAAACGTTAAAATAACTGTTAAAATTAGCGGTCGTTCTCGTCTCTAGTAGGGATTTCAACAAATCATGTACCATTTTGAAGTTCTAGACTCAAAGTATTCAAAGGTACATTTTAATTCATCATAAGATACCTCGAAGTTTGTCAAAATCGCTGTTAAAAGTTCTAAAAAAAATTAAACAAAATACATCTTAAAGACCGAGGGAGACTAAAGATACGACCGTTTGATTTTCATGAAAAATACGCATATGAAAACACTTGAGAAATCCAATGGTGAAGCATGATCATATATCGAGTCTTTCGATCGTCGGAGATAGACCGACGAAATTTCCAATTTTTCCGGAGATAGACCGCCGTCGCTACTCATTGGAAAGCTACACTTTTTCAACTTATTTTCGGCGATCTAAAAACTTGATTATTGATAATCAAAATATATCGTTAGATTCCTCAAAAAAATAGTTTTTCATACATATATTGTTCAAAAAAACTCAACAATGCGGTCTTTAGTAACACTAGGCCAAACTTTAAGGCGTATTTTGGCCAAAAAGTTTTAGAACCTTTAAAAATGATTTTGATGAACTTCAAAGTATAGTATGATTAAATAAAAGATAACGTTGGATAGACCGAGTCGAGAGTTTCAAACCGGTTTATAATTTACTTAAATATACCACCAAAGGCGGCGACGGCGGCCGTTAATTTTAATATTTTTTATTTAATATTTGGAGAAAAAATAATAATTTAAAAAAAAAAATTTATAACTAAAATTGATTAAGTTGATATTTCAGGTAAAAAAACGAAAAAGCAGAATATTTGAGGTACCAAAATGTAATTTTCCTTAAAGCACTTTTGCTACAGCTATATTCTTCTTAGGGTCTGATCTACTATTGGTTTGTAGCGGGCCTCAATGCATGACGGCAAATGGCTTTAACTGTTCCAGTTAGCTTCTGAATTGTGGGCTAAAATGCCCCTCTAG